TCCTGGAAACTGCGCCATACATTATGCGTCTTAATATAGTTACTTCCAGTGTGAGGTTATGATTGAAAATTGGATTGGGATATTTAGTAATAGTCTTCTGATAGGTTTAAGTTAAATTAGGAAGCAAACAAGCAGAGGAGGATGAGAGAGAATCTTGATAGGACTTGTCTAATTTCCTTTGTAATGTACACAGTGTGCATATATTTTCCTTAAAAGTTGTGAAGGATTACAACACTATGGATTTCTTTATTTAGTGCACAGGCAGAGGAAAGAGAAATAAAGGTGAAAAGGAAAAATAACAGATAAAGAAAGGAAGAGAAGGAAAGAGAAATGGAAGAATGAATAGGAAGAAGTAAAGGGTGATGTCCAGAACATTTCTCCTTGAAACATACAACCTTTCTTTTCTCATGTAACTGGCTCATCAAAAATAAAAACTCAAAAACAAAAGACGAGGGGAAATGTCCATAGCTTCCAATGTTACTTTCTGTGCTTTTCTTGATAGCATTAAACACAGTGCACGCCACTTATTTAGCTTGGCATCTAAATAACTTTTGTTTTTATGTTAGATAATAGATAAGAATGTTTTAGAAGTTTTTAAAAATATTACTTGTGGGAAAATTAAGAGATTGTGACACTATGTCTATATAACCAAAAGATTTAGAAGTTTTTCAGAGAGCAGTTTTAATACTCTATTTTTCATATGAAACATTCCCATATAAGAATTTTCAAGGAAACTGTCATTAACTTTTCTGTCCCATAATTTTAGACAAGGAAGGCACACAAGCCACACTTTCTGCTTCCTTCTCATGATGCCAGTCATAATCTTCAAAATGCTTGTTCTTATGCCATTTGTACTACTTCTCATTTCTTTGATCTTAAATCTTTGGTTAGCAAACAAGCACTCATTTTTTTTCTTGATAGTATTAAATCCCTTTATACAAGCAAGAAGAAGCCAGATAAGGTCTGTCACACACTTGTGCCAAGTTCAAAGCTGTGTGGCAACTGTTTTCATCAGCAAAGACTTTTGCAAAGTCATTTATTTGGTTGTGGCTTCTTTCTGAACGTATGCAGGCTAGCGATAATGTCAAAGATCATTATACAAAGGGCAATACAGGTCCCCATGCTTCATGCCCATGAACTATTGCTTATAGTTACATAAGAGACTCTGCTCCTGTTCTCATTCTCCTGTTCCCTATTCTCATTACTCATCTCTCTCCATCCAAGTTACAGAAAGCCTTTAATAAACACATCCAGGAAAACTGAACTGATAGCCTCATAGTCCATACATATTTTGCAATGGTCTTTGAGATAGAAGGTTGTATAAATATTGAGGCAGAAAAATTGGAATTCTTTGGAGAAGGGAAGATACAGAGAGCACAGAAATATGTGTTTCCTATTCCTTAAGATGTAGGTCATAGTAAACTACAAAAGATTTTTCTTTTCATCTGCAAAACAAATTAAATGACTTCAGATTCTCTTGATTGATCAGAATAAAGTCATTGATTTCACTGTAGAGTCATACACTACCAAGGTTGCCTTAAATTAAAAGGCAAAGTTAAATAGACATAAAATATTAAAACTTTATTGTTTCATTTATAAAACTGGATGAAAGACAAATTTACCCAAGGGACATTTGGAATGTGTTAAGTAACATAAAAGTCATCCTCATATACATGCGGAGAAAAAATATAAAAAAAATATAAACACTTCTATCTATATCACTTAGCCATATATCTACAACAATAGAAAAGGAAGGGAAATAAAGCTTTCATCTCCCTCCACCCTTGTCACTTGGGTAAGTGATAATTTGTAATAATTATGCTATTATTCACATATCTTCTTGTAAATAAAGTGTAGAAAGAATCCAGTATGTTGCTGTAGCTCCACTGAAAACTTTCCAAAGTAGAAAACAATAGACATATTGTCATCACTAGAATGCTATTTTAAAAACATATAGGAATCTTGGAGAGAGCTCACAGAAAATCAGAAAGAAAGGATTGACTTACTGTGTGAGAAAGATTAAAAGAATACGCATGGCTTGTCTGACTAACAAGTATGTGAGAACATGATAACCACCTGCAAATGTTCAAAGGGTGTGAGCACAAAGAAGGGAGGAGTATTTGGTTGGCCTCAAAATGAAGACACTAACCCATGAGACCAGCCATCTTTGGATGTCTTTGTAATCCTATTTCCAATGAGAATATATAGTATTCCAACTTTTAGATAGGGATTGCATAAGAAAAGAGATTATAGATTTTTGAGGGGGGGAAGAGGAACAAATTATTTGGGGACATGCTAAAACTAGGTCTGAAAAGAAGCAAAGTTACATACATAATTATCAGTTGTGTCTGCATCTAATTACAGCAATAATTGTTTCAAATTAATGGCATAATAGATATAACTTACCCAAGTTGTAAGACGTTGAGAGGGAATCAATTCTGGTTGTGCACACATTGTGAATTGCATCACAGTTATTCTTTAAATGATATTATCAATATGGTTTAAAGAGTGATACTAAAATGCAGATTAATAAAAAGAATATTTAAAGAATCATCAAGTGTAAGCCTAATTGGAACCCTCGAGAGGGTCATAATATCCACACTAAGAAAATTAATGCCATCAAAAATCGGTAATTTCAAATGAATGGCTTCTGTCTTGTATATAATAATTCTATATTACCCTACTTCATCTAGGTCAACTGAAAACATACTAATCTTTTGCTACTGAATGGGTGTTCTAATATGACATTAACATTTTTTTTACAATTTTGGGGATTACATTTACTTAGCTGAATTAAGTAGATTTATTTTAAAATTATAACTCAAAACATGATCACAGTGCAATTACCGATAGCTTTTCCTTAGGGTATATTAAGCACTATAGGAAGGAGCTACATAATAGATCAACATGCCCAGTCTGTGGATCCTCCATTGATCATTCATATTTTAACGTAAAAGAAGTAAGTCTTCTTACCTAGAAACTCCGTTAATACTCCAGCGTATTTGTCTGATACTCCCATTCAACAGTTTCTTACTTTCACTTTGCATTTGAAAGTAGAATAAATCATTTAGCTTGTACTTCTTGTACCTCTGTTTCTGAAATAGTTTACGTGTATGTAAATTCAAATCCTTCTTTGAAAAGACAATTTTAACTGGCAAAGAATCACTAACTTACACTGAGCATAATTACTTTTAGCCTTAAGACCTTGGCATGCCATCTAGATGAAAATCCATGCCAGAGAATGCCAGCCACACCTACCTATGAGATGGCCTTAAGAAACACACTCACTTATGTTCCCCCCGATGTTTGATCAGTTAAAATAAATCATGGCTGTGTGGTCTCATTTTAATGTCTGTGTTTTTGTTTTTGTTTTTTTTTGAAAGAGGCTTCTCCATTGGAAACCATATCCTACATTTTAGTACTGTAAAATGTGTCACCCAAATTTTTTATCAACAAATAGCTCAGATATAAATTCAGACTTAATTTTCAAAACACGAACACCATTTATGTACTTAGTTACTATTACTGGCAAAAAATATGCACTTAGATATGTAGATGACAAAATGTGTGTTTTCTTGGCTAATAGTGGTTGATAGTTGCTATTTTTCTAAAATTCTGTTTCTGTGAATTTTTTTGTTTTAAGTCAAATTAAATTATAATACAACATTTTCATACTATAGTAAGTTTATTGTATGAGTTTTCTTGTAGTAAATTTACACTATTGAGGAGAAGAAAACAGCTTACTTTTCTTAATAATACATAAGATGTTTGTCTACAAATCCCATTTCATGGCAGCAAGAGTGATCTTTGTCCTTCTTTGTATTTTAAGGTTTCCTCAGCTTTGTCCTCATGTTGCAGTCTGTGTGTGTCAATGTTTCAGAAGATGAAAAGCTTTAGAAATGAAATCATTCATAACACCTCCAGACTGATTCTGAAAATATCTCTTTAAGCATATTTTGCTTCAATTATGCAGAGTCTGTTGATGACTATTTTGCATAGGTAAATATTTATCACCTAGGTTCAATGGTATCTATCCAAGTAAGTTCTGGAAGGCTATCAAACTTCAAAACTTCAAGTGTTGATAAGGTATGTTTTATCATTAGCAAGATAGATGATCCCATGGTGGGAAAAGTGACTCAGAGTTGAGCTCAAATGGAGAGGAGTGTGAGCTCTTCAAGTCATTCAGAGTCTATTCCTCCACAAAATGTTGTAACACTACCCCCGTTTAATATAACTACTATAGCAAGTAGAGAATTGAAGCTGAGCTTCCTGGTTAGTCCACAAGAGGTCTGTTACACATAAAAACCCAATCTGGTCCATTCCACGTGCATGTTCTCCTGGTATCCTCAGTAAGAAAGAACTGAGTTACCTATCCCCGCAAGCAAGCAGAAGCAGGCAATGGCATGCCTTCAGCATTGAGTATAGAAAGAAGAAAATGCATTAAACTGCTGTAAAGTTTTTTTTGAACTTCTGTAAAATTTTAAAGAGATTACTTGAGAGATGTGACTTTCAATGTCCTTTGTTTCCTCACACATTTCCCCCCACAGGAGACAGAACTGTAAGAATAATCAAAGGAAAAGTTACTCTTTATTTACACAAGCCACTGACTATCTGTAGTGAGCCCTGGGCACAGGCTCATAATAACTCAAATATGCTTTGGCGGTGTGTGAATCTTCTGATTCAAAAGAAGAAGTATAAATAGTAAAATATATGAAAATTGCTGGATATTGTTAGCCATCCTACTAATACACATAAAAACACAGTGTGATAATATTCAGTCAACGTAGAGTAGTGATTATGAAAAGTAAATAGAGATTGTTGACATGGTTGTGGGAGAAAAAAGCTCTTATAGCTTATATACTGTTAGGAATGGAAATTAAAATAGCCATTATAGAAACACTGTTAGATTCAACATACAAGCTTGCTATACTACTTTTGGATACACAGGCAAAGTAAATGAAATTAGCATACTAAGGAAACATCCGTATGACTATAGTTACTTGCATTTATTTTAAATTTTTAATGTTGAGTGTGTTGCTGTTTTAACATATTTTAACTGATCCCTTTTAATTGATGTATCCCCTCTCATTCCTCCCTCCAGCCAATCTGCATCACCCTTCTCCTAGCTCTGCCTTTTAGCTCCTACTACCAAGCTGATAGGCTCTTTACTGACTTATTCCACAAACGTATGCAAATACAACCTATTGAGTCTATTTGTTGTCAGTATGAACATGGCTTCAGTTCTGCCCATTTTGCATTTGACAGTAAGTAAGTGGGCTCATCCCTGGGAGGAGCGAATATTCCTTCTCCCAGCAGTCTTTACTTGCTTGTAGCTCTTTATCTCCGGGTTGACCCCACAAACTTTCCTCCTTTCCATATTAGCCATGCCCACTGATATTTTCACTATTTCTGTCTTGCTGCTGTATCCATGTCTAAGAGAGACTTTTGCTGAAGACTTGCTGGCATTCTGGCTTTCAATATCTTTCTGCCTCCTTCTCTGTGACGTTCCTGGAGCCATAGATATAGGAAATGTGATGGAAAGGACTTCCTGGGTCCTGAGCTTTCCAAGATCTTTCGACTTCTGCTTTGTATGCAGTTGTGGTTTTCTGTGATGGTCTCTGTTTGTTGTAAAGAGAGGCTTCTTGGATGACAGATGGTAGCTACATTATCTGTAGGTATAAGGGTAAGTTTTAGAATATTGTAAGAAATAAATTTGGTCTAGCACAGTGGCAGCACTATTTCTTTGAGACGCGCATGAGTTCCCTAGCTCCAAGAGATTGGCTAGATTTTAAGTGGCAGGTGTAACTCCCCTCCTGTTGAGTGGCCTTAAGTCCAACTGGATAACTATTGGTTAACACCAACATTTGAGTGCCTTTCTGAATATCTTGTCTTGGTGGTCATTGTTCTAGTTCATAGGTAGACTAGGGTATTTCTGTGTGGTAGTGTATGCATATGAGTGCGTCCGACCATGGAGGGCAAAAGCAGGGGTCAGCTGTTCTAAATCTGGAGTTGGAAGTAGCAGGAGTATCCTGATGTGGGTGGGAAAACAAATTTACATCCTCGAAAAGAGCAGCAAGTACTCTCAACTGCTGAACCATCCCTCCAGACCCTGTGTAGTCACTTATATATTATGGCACTATCCATAATACATATGATACAGAATCAACCTAGGTAACTGTCAATATATGAATGGCTAAACAAAATGTGAGACATTAAAAATGTGATCTGCATATATGTATCAACGAATACACACAGTGGAGGGGGTGCATACGGGATACAAAGCTTGAATGTCAAAACAAAGATTAAAAATAAAAAGTCCTACAGTTGCAACACACAGAGAGGTAAGGCCAATTCAAAATAGTGTGTTGGATACTTCCTTAAGATATGGAAGGGGTAGCTCGAGGACTTCAAACATTAAGATAAACAACGAGAGAGAAATGATAAGTAATTTGACTTAATGAACACATGTTGCAGGTATTAAAGTATTATTTTGAATGATAAGCATTATGGTGCTTGCCTGTAATCACAGCATGGAGCACTGAGACAGGAGGATTATGAGTGGAAGGACAGGCTGAGATCCACACTGAGTCCTTGTCACAAAGAGACAGACAAACAAAAATAATCACACAGACCTGTTTTTTTTTTACTTCTTGTAAATTAAAATTATATTGATTTATATAGTAACAATTATCTTTTATCTAAAGTAAAACCTTAAAATTTCTTATTCTAATATTGAAATCAACCCAAAGTTTAGAAAAGTTATGAAGATACAGAATAAAGGTACTTCTTACCCTCAAAAATTTGTAAAGACAGATCAGGATATATGTCACAACATGGCATGTACATATTAGTTTTATATAACTCCATGAAACTACTACTCCATCTAATAGAGTTTGTTTTAGATAGCATACTATAATTTTTATTCTTTTTTATTTTAAAATTTAAATTAGAAACAAGGTTGCTTCACATGTCAATCTCAGGTCCCTTTCCCTTCCCCCCTTCCCACCAACCCTGCCTACCCCCTCCCCCAATCCCCACTTCTTTTCCCAAGGAAGGTGAGGCCCTCCATCGAGAGTGTTCATAGTCTGTCATTTCATCCAGGGCAGGGTCTAGACCCTCCCCCAAGAGCCCAGGCTGAGTGTGCATCTCTCATTGTGGGATGGGCACCCAAAGTCCATTTGTATGCCAGGGATAAATACTGATCTACTACCGTTGTTCAGGTCAGCTGTTTCTGTGGGTTAAAGAAGTCCAGTCTTGACCCCTAAACAAGAACTGGTCTTCTCAGGAGTGCAACTGAAGGATGCATATACCTGTCCAATGACAAGATTCAAAAGTGATGCATATACTTGTCTAATCATCACAAGATTCAGAAGTATTCACCCTTCACCTTGTGTTGACACTTCACCATGAAGATGGCATTAGGAAACAGAAGGATATTCATACACTCCTAAGAAGAATAATCATATAGGAAAGGTTAAGTTAGCTGTATTATAATATTATAAGGTGCACAAAAATAGTAAGACCTATTTCCTGCTTAGAGAATACTCTTCAAGGGAATATCATACTGAGTTTACTTATATGACCAACCATTTTGACAAACATGACTGTGGTGCCTACATTTCCTTAACAAATTAAAAGATAGATTATTACCCACAAGTTAATAAAAGACATGATATAAAAGGTGAATATCTACAGATTTCTTCAATGTACTCTTAACATTTTTTAAATTTAAAATTTACACAGAGGCATCTACTTGTGTCCTTGAGATGATTAGGGAAACTTTGTCTGCTTGGAAGAGGTTAGAAGCCCAGCCTCACAGTATTCTGAATTTTAACCTAAGATTCTACCTTTTTAACTTTGAGATTATCTTTACATTGGTTTATCTTATACTTCAAGAGGATGGTAATTAGAGACAGTTTTGTTTTTCCACAACGACAGGGAGTTCTGCATGCTTTATGTTTTCTCCAAATTCTGCTTGAAAATTCAAATTTCCTTTATTATAGTCTTACTTTCCCCAGCATTTGTTATAGATGGCAGAAATGAATATTGATTGGTATATTCAGCATTTTGTCTGAAAATCTCCTTAGTTACTGTACTTCAAGAAGTTTATTTGTGTATGTGTGCATGGTTGAGTATATACATCTATGTATCTGTTTGTAAACATTCTGGCAATATATATAGAAAAGTTTATCTTTTTGTAGACTCCAATAATAATTTTGTCATCTGTATCCTTCAAAATTCCAAACCTATCACACACACAGAATCAACTGCATCAGTGTTGTCTAGTTTTAAATATTGCTTGGACCTCAAACTAGTCCCCATGGTTTATGTAATTATTATGATAGTTACTTTCTTCAGTAACAAATTCTGCTTTAATAATCTACTTTGTTCAATGTACTACTCAAAACTTATTTGCTCATAAAAGCAAGTCAGTGGTATTTATCATGGTCTTATAAATCACTTAGAGCAGCAGGGAATTCCTGTTGGTCCTCTCATGTGTTTCTGAAGGCTGCGTTGTGCTGGATATCCATGGTGGATTATCTACATAGATGGAGATTAATGATGACTCTTCTAGAGTCTTCAAAACATTAGGCCTTCTCATTGATATCCTGCTTAGGTTCCAAGGCTTAGGACCCTAAATGTAACCATTCATTCTGACTAATGGAACAATGAAAGGTTACTTTGGACATAGCTTGGAAGATTTATAGTTCCATTTCTGCAGAATTATGTTAGCAAAAATAATTAAAAACCCTGGCCAAATGATAAAAATAACATTAATATTTCCCTGAATGGAATAATGAAATTTATGCTTCATAATTTCCTATATTCAAAAGTCTGAGTTGAGGACTCAATCTATTATGTTTGAAGGATAAAAAATTGAGTAATAATCCCAGTTATTAATAAAAACAAATGGGAGACTCACACTTAATTCTTCTTTGAGTTTCTGTTATTCATTAGCGAACATTCTTACTGAGGGGTCATAACAATTAAGACAAAACTTCCAAAGAGATTGTTCGAATGGAAGATAAAGTTTTAGCCATGCATATAGACAGTCCGTTAATTCAAGTACACTATAGATACTGCCTTTAGGGGAAATTCTAAAGTCAAAAAAAGGGAGCATGCTTTGGGGCAGGTACAGGGAACATAGTCTTAAATGGAAACTTGTGAGGTGACTCAAAGAACTCTCCAATCCTAGACAAGTATTCTACCAAGTATCACAGTATCAGTCTTTGAATCTCACCTGAAGTTTACAGTATTAGTCACTCTTTCCAGTTAAGGAACAAAGCTAGAGACCTGGATTTCAGCATGCATTTGTACATGAAATATGCATTCACCACAGCTATCTGTAGCAGGCATAATAAAAACCCATATACAGATATTGGGGTTTAAATTGAAGATCAGAAAAATAAAGCAGCCAACCATTAGAGAATTCTTACCTCCAGCAAGGCTGGGGAGGTACTGTCCTTAGTGTGACTGGAGCCTGAATGCCACATAAGACCCTGAGCTCCTGTCTTATATTCCTCTCTAGAGCTAGGATTAAAGGCGTACACCACCACCACCCAGCCTCTTTGGCTTTCCAGTGTGGCTTCTGGGATTAAAGGTGTGTACCACCACTTCCTGGCCTCCACGGCTGTGACTAGCTTTGCATTCTGATCTTCAGGCAAGGTTTGTTAGATCATAAACAGTGCATCACCATAGCTATCTGTCTTTAATATATTAGAACATGTTTGTTTAGATGATTTGTCACACCCAAGGAAGTGTGACAAACTTTGTTATAATGGAATTGCATGCAGAATGGTGACATATGACAATATATGAATTTATTCATTGTGTTATCTTATGGTTTTGTTTGGTGTGATAAAATGCTTGAAGCATAAGATAGGAAGGATGCTTTGACTCATGGTTTTCTAAAATTCTATCTATGATTAGCAGGCACAATTTCTTCTAGGCCATGATGAGCCAGAATTTACAAGGCAAAAGAGCATGGCAGAGAATATTTTCCAAGCTTATTGCTCCTCAAAATCATGGAAGGGACTGGCAAAATGACTCAGTGGGTAAATGTGCTTACTTCTAAGACTTCTACCCACATGGTAGAAGAAGACAGCCAGCTCCCCACAGGTTGTTACCTGACCTCCATAGATATGCCACGATATGTGTATCCATAAGTATGTGCACATACATAAGCACACATACAATAAATAAGATACAATTAAGAAATACTTCTTAATATCATACATATTTAATTTTGGTGGTTCAGATTAATCTAGTGTGTAGAATATGCATTCAGAATTCATTGTTTTGATGAATCCAGTAGCTGGAGTGGTTATAGAAACCTGGGGAAGAACCTATTGTTTTCATTTTTCTAAACTAATGTAATTTCTAATAGTATTCTGAATACCTAGCCTCATATTCAGCAATAAGTGTAGTTTTCACCCCTCATCAAAGAAGCTTCTCTTTGTAACAAATGGGAAATTGATATACAAGTCGGCCACTGATCAAAATGTAGAGAACAGTGAGGGTAAGATGCTTAGAAGTGATTACTATTTGCAATGCAATCCCTGCATGCAATGCTTAAGCAAAATTTTGAAAGAAGGGGCCTAAAGATAGCTGTCGAGGTCTAGGATACATACTGCTAGGTAGTATCCTCTAAACACAACAAGGAAACTGAGCCTATGAAATTTTTGCAATATGGTTACCTAAAAATGACCTGAATAAGAACAACACCAGCTGATATGCCAACCAGGATGAAGGAAATTACACACAGTCCTATCCCTAGATGAAGAGCTATAGGCAAACAATGACAACCGAGAAAGGCAAAGTCAACTTTCTGCAGGGATAAGCTCCTATACAGGTTGTCTAAAGCCAAGTGGTTAGCTGGTCAGTCCTATATACATGCACATAGAAGCATTACCATATGGACTCAGTAGGCAATATTGGCATATTCTTTAAATCAGAGCTCTCATGTTCTAATAATCATCTTTGAAAACATCCTATAGAGGCAAATAAAAATGTACCTATGTAAAATCCTAGGTGAATCTAATCAAGTTGTCAATCAAGATTCATGATCAGACTCATGTGAGATACATGTCTATACTGCATGTGTATGTCAGAAAATATTTTGGTTCATGATTGAGTTCTCAGATAATTTTGATGAATGTCAAGATAAATAACACTAGTGTAGCCATATGAATTTACTGGTATTACTTAGTAGAGAAGGTAGAATTAGAGAAAAATATGTAAATGGATAAGAATGGACTCTCACAAATTTTATAGTAGCTGCAGAGCATAAATAAACCAGCAGCTTTACTACACTTTCTAATGCCTTGTCATTTATCAATATGGATTCCCTCTGCACATCTGGACTTACTCATGCTTGCTCAAGTGTAGTATGCCTTTTCACTTCTCTTTGATTTTGCAGGTGTTTTTCCTACCTTCTGCCATTCTTTTTGCCCTTCCTTGTGTTGCTAATCTATACTCATCCTTGAGTTTCACTCAAAATGCTCAATCCTCTCATTGGAAGTTGTCTCTGCTTTTATTTTATTTTCAATTTTACAAACAATCTGTAAACTCTCTCCTCTTAATTGGGTCTAGGATTCAAGCCCAAGGACAGGCAATGGTAACTTTGAAGGGGCTTCTTCAGCACTCAATTACTATAACCAAGAATAATCCCTCACAGGTGTGCCCAGAGGCTAACACAGTGTAAGTAGACCCTCACAGTGTGATCAGAGCTAACACAGTGTAGGGAATCTCTCACAGGTGTGATCACAGGCTAGCACAGTATAGGTAGTCCCTCACAGGTGTGCCCAGAGGCTAACACAGTGTAGGTAGCCCCTCACATGTGTGATCAGAGGTTAACGCAGTGTAAGTAGACCCTCACAGAGAGATCCAGAGGTTTGTCTGATAAGTCATTCTAGAATCACCAAGTTGAAAATCAATATTGATAGTCACAGTACCATTCAGAATTAATTATATCTATTTAGGATAAAACAGTGTGATGCAAAGCTCCATAATCTTTCAAATCTAGCATTCTGTAGTTTGATTTATCTCATCTATTCTATGCTTCATCAGTGGCAGCTACGTGCTAGTATATAAAACATACATCCTCTTTACTCAGTAAGCCATGAAGTTTCAATTTCCTACTTAAAATTTTAAGAATAAAGTAGTGTTTATCCCACAGTGTCATTTTGAGACTATTAAATGAAATAACACCTAGAGAAGTTTCCTACCTGGAAATCATTACCTGATAGCAATCCACATTGAGCTGGTGTTTTTACACTCTATCCTATTTACTGAGTAAGACTTTCATTGTGATTGGGAATTGGGGTGTTTAGGTGCACATGCTGACACATTGTCGGTGCTTTTGTTAAGCAAATGAGACGTATCAGTGGTTAGGGTTGACTATTAATCAGTTGAAAAGGACAAACTACTTGGTGGCTGCCCTGTTTCTGTTCTGTTGCTGTGACAAAACACCATGACCAAGACAAATTATAAAGGAAAGCATTTAGTTGGGGATGTGCCTACAGCTTTGGAGGGTTAGTCCATGGACATCACGGCAGAAAACAGATAAGCATGGTGCTGAAGCAGGAGCTCAGAGCTTTACTTTCTGATCCATGGACACACACACAGAGAGAGAGACAGAGAGACAGAGACAAAGAGACAGAGAGAAGAGAGGAGAGAAAGACAGACTGAGAGAGAAACAGATTTATAATGCTTTTAAATCTCAAAGACACTCTGATGCTATGACAACATCTCCTTCCAAAAGAACCTGCTTCCTAATCCTTCCCAAATAGTTCCACTCTCTGGATTCTAAACCATTCTCTTTAAAAACCGACCACAAAGCATGTTACCTATTACTACATACTTCCAAGCTGACCTCTTCCTCTACATGGAAGAAGCTGGTTTAAAGCAACAAACAGAAACTCAAACATCACTTGAGTAGAACTCATTGACACTTACTTGAATGTACTCTGTGGTACATAACTGTGTTGATTTCCTAATCTAGATGACTTTTCCCGTTTCTAAGATGTGCCTTTTCTGTAGAGTATGAAACAGAACTGCTAAGCTGGCCAGTGCTGTTTCTTTGAAATGCAGCCAAGTGAAGGTTGAGGCACTCCGTGCTCTTGTTGGATGTCTTTAAATTGCTACAGTCATACTTGAAAGATTGAGGTTATGTTTCACACTTTAAAGATTGAGGCTGACAAAACAGCCTGTAGGTCTCAGAGCGCTTTGTGAATTCTGTGTCAGATGTCTCAGAAAGGTCCTGATTGTTTACTTTTGAGTTTCTTTCCCTCTGAGGAAAGTGTGAGTTGCCATTATAGCATTCCTCAGGGAGGGGTGGCAGGCAACAGGCATCCTTTAGGGTAACCTTCCCCCTAAGGCAAAAACACTTCTTTTATATAGCTGGTAACTCTGTGAGTTGTATCCACAGGGTTATGGTTTTGGGGCTTAAGCAAATCAAGTAAGTAGATCATTCTAGAACAAGTCAAATTGTATACAAAGTTATCAGCTCAGTTTGTGCTCATAAAGTTTAGTTCACACTAGTAAGAAAATATTAAATATCCCAGATAATTTACCCAATATAAATAAATGGGGAACATGTATTACATCATATCAGGACCAGAATGGAGTGAAAGGAAGACTGAAGAATAGTAATTGGAATTAAACATTTTTTTCTAAAATAATTTAAACTATTTCCCTGGTGTTTTTAGATCATTATACTCCCCATCTCACTAAAGTTTCTGGTACTAGTTTAATAATATTTTACTGTTTGTTTGTTTGTTTTGTCAGGATGATTTTATATATTATGTATTTTATGGGGTGTAGTCTCTTGGATTCTTAGGTCACTAAAATTAAGAATGTGAAAACCGTCTTCCCTGGTTTATTTTATATGTATAAACAAACCAGCATTTGAAATGGGAAATTTGAGTGACTGCCACAGCCCACTACTGTCTCATCATTGATGGTTTTTCACAATCACACATGAAATCTACTAAAGCACATCTAATTTAAAATCGCTTGAATTCCATTACATGGTCACTCTTTTTGTGCAACTTATAATACACCAACAGTCATTTAAAGTTATTTATGTGATGATGTGTGAAGTGTTGTATAAACACATCCAGGTAAGAAAATAATATACTAACTATAATACCTACTCATTTTTTCTACCCTAAATTTTTTTCTAATTGGAAATAGGTTCTTCTCTCATACATAGTACATCCTGACCACAGTTTCCCCTCCCTCCACTCCTCCCAGTTTCCCACCACCTCCTATCTCCCTCATATACACTCTTCCCTTCATTTTCTCTCCAGAAAACAGCAGGCCTCCAAGACAAGCAGAAAACAAAGCAAGAACAGTAAGACTAGGCTAACTCCTTCATGTCAATGCTGCACAGGGCAATCCAACAGGCAGACAAGAGTGCCAGGGGCAGGCAAAAGAGTCAGAGACATACCTGTGTCCACTGTGAGTAGTCCCACAAAACACCAAGCTGAGCTGGACAGAAGGCTTAGTCACTGTTCAAGGTTAGGCTCACAACCAAAAATAATACCTACTCCTGATTGGATCCACTCTGTAACTTATATGTAACCTATATCCTTTTGTTTTAAACGTGAAGGTAGAAAGCTTACTTCTCTAAGGTCCGTGTTTTAACAACTGTCTCTGGGCTTTAATATGAGTCCTTCAGAAACAACATGGGACTGGGCTTTTTTAATTTTTTTCTTCTCAGCTATAGAGCATCATAGCATCTCCACGTAATCCCACTTGAGATCAAAAGCCAAAAATGAGAATAATAAAAGAAACACTTTCTAAAGGCATTCCTTATTATTAAATGTCCACATTTTCTTTCTTTCCAGTTTGTTTAACATATTTGTTTGCTGGCTTCAAATGGAATTGAAAAGCTCAATTAATAATAGAACATCATGATCACTACCATGCAGTCCTCCCTCTTGATATCACACACAGAGGAGGCTGGTGGGCCCGGGAAGCATCAGGACTCCATTACTGCATCATGTAAGCAACTCCAATTGCTTGTCCTGCTTCCTCTGCTTTCCCTCTTAGAGTCGAAGGCTTAGACCCTAAGATCTTGAAGAAAGATCTATGCTGTAGTCACCTTGTACCTCAGTGACTACAGAATATTTTATAGAGTCCACTGAAAGCTGTCTACTGCAGGACTCTTCAAGAAGAAAAGAATATGTGAAAAGTTAAAGCATTTTCTTAAGCACAGTTGTTGGCTTTACGGACGCTGTAACGATACGCGACACACAATTACGGAAAGTGAAACTAAGTATTTTATGTAGAAAATTACTCACAAGATACCAAACCCCGAGAAGCCCAGCAGATCTCAGCTAGCGACTGGACCGGAAGCCGAACTCCAGGAAAAGAGAGCGAGACTTCCTGTGCGCTGTCTTTTATGCCTTCCCCCGTAACGCCCCTAGCCATGCCCAAAAGTGGGCTTGGCTAGTGACGTAGTTCCGCCTACGTACGTATACGTCTTTACGTCCAGCCGTATACGTCTTTAGTCCTGCCTAAAGTGGGTGTGGTTAGCGGTGTGGTAAACCGCCCTTTTATTACCTCATCTGTATGCGCCTCTAGTAAGTCACATGTTTAATGGCGGCATAGACTTAGTAAGTCACATGTTTAATGGCGGCATCAGACTTCCTCCTACACACAGTAAATAAATTGGTTGTAGAAGAACAGAGGCATTTTGTAGATACCTTTCATTGTGATGGCACACCTCTCTAGTAAACTCAGACCTTGTAAATACATCTTAAGTGATCTTTTCAATACATATACACACCTGTCTTAAGTTTTACCAACAAAATTCTGTATCCTTCTCAAGTTTTCCTTCGCCAAGTGAAGTTAACTGAGTACCGGAGAGATTGGAAATGGTCAAGGAGAACAGGAATTGCTTTGGGGGCAACTGCAGCCAGAAGATGTGCATGTGTTTGGATATGCTGAGTAACGAGGATGAGAATTTCAAACTCGCACCACTGAGTATGAGACCTGTGAGTACAGCATTTAGATATACATGACCGGCATCGTTGTTGCCATCTCTGCTTTCCAGTATGCTAGTTACAGCCTAAAAACCCAAACTTCCATTCCTGGAGAAAAAAAAATCTCTCCAGGTTTCTCTTACGTATTGAGTCCTCTCTCCCCTAGAAACTCCCAGTTCTTTCTCAGGAAGGGTCTTCACAGACAGTTGTTTGTTTTTTTTTTTTTTGTTTTTTGTTTTTGTAGCACCCAATTCATGTGTGACACAGTATCTAGCGTCTTTGTTAGGGTTTCTACTGCTGTGAAGAGACTCCATGAACACAGCCCTGCTTATAAAGGAAAACATTAAATTGGGTGGCTTACAGTTTTCAGAGGTTTAATCCATTATCATCATGGCGAGAAATGTGGTGGAGGGCAGACAGACATGGTGCTGGAGACAGAGCTGAGAGTCTCTAACATCTTGATTGATGGCAACAGGAAGTGTCTGTGTGACTGGGCATGGCTTGAGCTCATATGATCCCTCAAAGCCCACCTCCGCAGTACCACACTTCCTCCAACAAGACCACACCTACTCCACCAAGGTCACACCTCCTAGCAGTGCCACGACCTTTGGGGGCCATTTTTTCTTCAAACCACCACATCTAATGACCTCCATTTTTATGGCTTTGTTCATGTTTTCTTTTTCCTGTGTCTCTTTATTCTTCACTCTGAAAGAATTTTTGTGGGATAAAACCTAGGTTCTCTTTAAGTCTACTGACTCATCAGCAGCCTGCCTTGGATATCTATCTGCTATGAGATCCTCAAATCCTTTGATATGGAAACATAGCCCTGCAGCATATAAACTGCACAATATACTTCCCCCATGTCTATTCTCTTTCTTCCCCTGAATCTTTCCTTATCTAGTGACAGCATACATTGATTATAGTACATATGTTGCCAAGAGTCTGGATTCCTACTTTCAAATATAGGCCATTTGTAACTAAGGAAAAATAAAAACAAATCTAATTTTAAGCAGTTATAATGACTTAATGAAGAAAACACAGAGTGAAAACAAATGCTTGTATTTGACAACACCCATGTAAACAAGACCCTAATTTCCTGTTTGTTCTTATAGATGATATTAGTGACATTTGAACCTTAATGGATAATTTTGTACAAAAATGTTCTTTTACTGGAAGTATATGTAAAATGTTTTATTTGAGGTAGCAAACTGTTTCACTGTTTTGTATTATTGAGAAAACTTTTTATCATTATAATTGCTTATCATTGAACATTATTAATAGAAATGGGTAATTCATAAACAACCAATATAAATCTCTTTGAAAATAAAACAGTGCACGAGAAAGAGAGATAGAGAGGGTGAATAAAGGATATTAATTAGCTTCTGGGTTCTTTAAAATATTTTACTTTTGCTTTACAAAGAGTACTAGATTTATCTCAAAATTATTAAGTTTTCAGGAATGTGTCTGTGTATAAATTAAAGTAAATCTGTATATTCCCACACTTAATAGTTTACCAAGCTGCTCACAGAAGCTCTGTTGATTTGTGTAGGTTCCAGTAGAATAAAATGATAAACTCTTTTGCAGATGTTTTTCAGAGGTTTGAAAGAATGTGATTTGGGAAGGCAACTCAATAAATGCAAAACCCACCAGATCTTTAAAGACAACTTCAAAACCATGCCAAGATTTCATGAAATTCCAATAAATCAAACATGAAAGTACATTACCTAGAAAAATATTATTTCTTGGTTACTTGTTTATGACAGTGCAAAAGATCAGTGAACGGCAAAAAAATATCTTTCCCTTTCTGACAGATAAGGAGACAGAAAAAAAACCCACACACACATTAAAATGTGCTGCCCGAAGCAGTATTCTGAGCACTAACTTTGTGTCTCCCTTCATGTCATCTAGGCATCCGGATTAATTCTTTACTTTAAGCAAAGTGCTGCAGGAGACACCTATTCCAGTAATTAATAAATGGCATTGACTGATAATAGGGGAGTGCGTGCAAGTTTAATTGGTTATGATTTTGTGTATTGCATTTCTTGCATGAGGAGTTCAGTGAGAAAGGAGTTCAGACCTTCACAATAATAACAGATGGGAACAACAGAAAAATCCGTAGTATTCTATTGAGATTTACGCAAGTTTAGCTTGGAAAAATAAAACTTCATAGCATCAAGGAAGCATATTGAATTAGCATTATCAGCTGTATAATGTAGCACAGAAGCTTGTGCAATATCTGTGCCAGCGAAACCAACAATTATGGTCTGTAAATCTTTCCATAATACATTGAATCAAATTCTATCGTTTTCCTGATCTTTGCTGGTTCCTTGGGTTAAAGCCTTTATCATCTGTCACAGGAATCATTCAGTCTCCTTCTTCATCACTTTGTGACACGCTTGTTTCTCCTCTCTCTCTTTTCCTTCAGTTGCATCACTGTCAGATTCCTAACTTTCAAGAAATTCCCACGGCATCAACTATACAACTTGAAATGCTACCTGTGACCCGTAAGTCCCTGAAACCCTGGCTTCATTTAACCACTCCGCATTTCTTCTTTACTTCTTGGTGCTGTGTCTGTTAAGAGAGAAGGATGTTCCCACATTTTACCAGTAGGTAAATGACAAAGGGCTTATTCAAGAAGATTAAAAATATCAACCATACTCTGGGCAGTAATGGTGCATGCCTTTAATCCCAGCACCTGGGTGGCAGAGTCAGGTGGATCTCTATGATTTCTATGCCAGCCTGGTCTAGAGAGTAAGTACCAGGACAAACTCCAAAGTGACACAGAGAAATCCTGTCTCACATACAAAAAGAACACCCACAAAACAAAACACAAAAAATGTATCAGCCATAATCACAGTGATGATAACAAATGAACTTCATCATACAATACAACAGTAAGGTAAAACTTCGGCTACAGGAGGGGTCCAGTTCATAAATTAAAATGATGTCATCCCCACCTGGTGGTGCTGTGCTTCTTAGACCTCTTCTGCTTATTTGGTTGGCTCTGTTACCAAGGTGAAGAAATGTACTAGTAGTTTCAATTCAATGTCCTTACAGCTACAAACTAAGAAGAAGAAGAAAAAAACAAAGAAAAAGAAAGGAAGAGAAACAAAGTAAAAAAGAAAGAAAGTTCTGCACCCCACTTTTTAATTGGATGCTTTGGTGCTTAGGAGACTTGCTTCTTAAGTTCTTTGTAAATTTTGGAGATCAGCCCTCTGTCAGATATAGGGTTACTGAATATTTTTCCCATTCTGTGGACTACCTTTTTGCCTTATTGACTGTGTCCTTTGCCTTACCGAAGCTTCTCAGTTTCAGACAGTCCCATTTATTGTTGATCTCAGTGTCTGTGCTAGAGGTGTCATGTTCAGGAAGCTGTCTCCTGTACCAATTCGTTCAAGGGTACCTCCCACTTCCTCTTCTAAGAGTTTTAGTGTGGCTGGATTTATTTTGAGGTCTTTGATCTGTTGGGACTTAAGTCTTGTGTAAGGTGATAGACATGGGTCTATCTGCAGTCTTCTACATGCCAATATCCAGTTATGCCAGCACCATTTGTTGAAGATGCTATCCTTTTTCCAATGTATAATTTTACCTCCTTTGTCAAAAATCAAGTGTTCATAGGTGTGTGGGTTAGTATCAGGATTTTCAATTCAATTCCATTGGTCTGTCTGTCTATTTTTTGTGCCAAAACCAAACTGTTTTCAGGACTATAGCTCTATAACAGAGCTTGAAGTCAGGGATGGTGATACCTCCGGAAGTTCCTTTATTGTACAGCGTTATTTTAGTTATCCCAGGTCTTTTGTTTTTCCATATAGAGTATTGTTCTTTCAAGGTCTGTGAAGAATTGTGCCAGTAGTTTGATAGGGATTGCACTGAATCTGTAGATTGCTTTTGGCAAGATTGCAAAGTTCTTGCTGTACAGTTCTTGCTTGCACTTGTTTGGTGAGTGTTATCCCCAAATATTTTATGTTGTTTGGGGCTATTGTAAAGGGTGATGCTTCTCTGATTTCTTTCTCAGAGAATTCTCAATATAGGAGTTTGAAATGGCTGAGAGACACTTGAGAAAGTGCTCAACATCCTTAGTCATCAGGGAAATGCAAATCAAAACAACTCTGAGATACCATCTTACTCCTGTCAGAATGGCTAAAATAAAAAACATCAATGACAATTTATCCTGGAGAGGATGTGGAGAGAGGGGAACACTCCTCCAATGATGGTGGGAGTGCCAACTCATACAGCCACTTTGGAAATCAGTGTGGAGATTCCTCAGGAAAATGGGAATCTATCTACTACAAGATCCAGCAATTCTACTCTTAGGTATATACCCAAAAGATGCACATTCGTACAACAAGGACATCTGTTCCACTAT